GGAGGAGCATTTCAGGCATGGAAAGCCAATACACTCTGGGAAAAAAAGGTCTTACATAAAGGAACCCAGTGGGTGAGAACCCAGTGGAAAGAAATGGCCACCAAAGAAGAATGCACTTTTCTCTGAAGGAAGAAGAGTCCATTTTGCTTATGGCATTGTCAAGCCAGTGGATCCAAAAGGCTTCCATAACCAAAGCAGCTCATGTCAAGAGCCCATAGGTGATCACTGATGTCATACTTAAGAATGTTAATTATTAAATAAACAACAAGAGACACTGTGCACTAACTTCCCATGCAGGACCTCTGACCCCAGAGAGTTGTATCATGAGACTTAATAGTAAAACTTGCTCTCAAGAATCACTTCCATTTAGTTTATTAAATGGAGAATAAAACCATATCTCTTAAGTTAAAGTTATGTCTAAGAGCTCAAAGAGATGTACCATTCTTGGGTTCTTCTTCAAAAACAATTAAGTTTCTAAAAGGAAGGAAGGGGAAGGAAGGAAGCGAAAGAGGAAGGGGAAAAAAATAAAAGTGAAATCACCTTCAAGAAGCATTAACACAGAGCAGCCCTTGTCTCAGCTGTTTGTGAACAGGTCTCTAGTTTTTTTTTATTCCATTCTTTTTCTTTCTTTTTCTTTCTCAGACTAAACAGGAGAGGGAGGAGGAAGAGGGGAGGGTAGATACAGTGGGAAGAATTACTATGTTCCTAATGTTATATTTATGAGATACATACGAACAAACAAAAAAAGACCTAAATAAATGGAGACACATATGTTCATGGAAGACTTCATACTGCTCTGTATTTTCATCAAGTATGTTTTTATTGAAGATTTTATTTATTGAACACAGTGCTCATTAGCAAAGCAAGTTTCAGAGAAGGGAGATAACTAAAAAAATAATTTAAGAACAAGGCTGGGCCGGCGCTGCGGCTCAGCAGGCTAATCCTCCGCCTTGTGGCGCCAGCACACCAGGTTCTAGTCCCGGTCGGGGCGCCGGATTCTGTCCCGGTTGCCCCTCTTCCAGGCCAGCTCTCTGCTGTGGCCAGGGAGTGCAGTGGAGGATGGCCCAAGTCCTTGGGCCCTGCACCCATGGGAGACCAGGAGAAGCACCTGGCTCCTGCCTTCGGATAGGCGCGGTGCGCCGGCCACAGCGCGCCGGCCTCGGTGGCTATTGGAGGGTGAACCAACGGCAAAGGAAGACCTTTCTCTCTGTCTTTCTCTCTCACTGTCCACTCTGCCTGTCAATAAATAAATAAATAAATAAGCAAACAAGGCTGACTATAAAAAGTAACAACAGTTCATTTAAAAATAAAAAAATGTTTCAGAGAAAATGCTAGAGGACAAAATCATAGTAAGGATACTGTGCAAAGGAATGCCACTGTTTCAGTTACATTCAGGGTTACAACAGACAATCTAAAAATAACAAAATCATCAATATTACTACAACATTCTAGTGAGAGGTCTGGCCAAGTATCCCAGGTATCACTAGCCTACTTTCAAAAGGTTGCCATTTAGGGCCAGCATTGTGGCATAGCAGGTAAAGTTTCTGCCTGCGATGCCTGCATTTCATGTTAGCACTGGTTTGAGTACTGGTTTCTTCACTTCCGATCCAGCTCCCTGCTAATGGCCTGGGAAAAGCAGTGGAAGATGGCCCAAGTACCTGTTCCCCGCCACCCACATGGGAACCTCAGATAAACCTCCTGGCTTCTGCCTGGCACAGCCTTGCGTGTGGAAGCCATCTGGAGAGTGAACCAGCAGACAGAAGACCTCTCTAGATCTCTGTCTGTTCTTCTAACTATGCCTTTCAAATAAGATAAAATAAAAATCTTTAAAAAGAGTCACCTAGGTAATACCAAATCCAGCTTGCACTCATTAAGCTCTCTCAGAATTACTGAAACTTTGGAAGTAACAAACTGAAATATTTTGGTATCTGTTAACTTCTTTCCTCAATACCTGCTTTCTCAATGTCTCTCTTACAAATTCGAACTACCACCAGCCCCCAAGCATTCACTCTACACGTCTACAAAAGTCAGTGGGTCCCGTACATTCTCTAATGTATTTGATTTTTATTACCTTAACAGTTACCTAATAATTGCTTAACTTAATCGATGTATTTGTATCTTTCCTCTAACAGTTAAAATACATATCACATCCTTTTCAACCTGAAACTCTTGCTTTCACTTTCACGACACTTTTCTTGATTTTCTCCTTTTTACTTTAATCATGGTTGAGTATAGATGTCACTAACCTATGTAACCACCACATCTGAACACACCTGCATCAAACAGCACTGTAATTTTTTTTCCCTCTGCAACAAAACTGTCCATTTCTCCAAGAAAAGGATAACAACTTTTAACTTTGTAATACCAGTAACAAGGCAAGTACCTAATATATCACTAGTAATTAAATAGTTCAGGAGGTACACAATAAAAATTAGAGGTCAGATTCTATAATCCTAATTTTACAAACTGACTGCTTTTTAGGTGAATTTCACTTCACAAGGAAAAATTCAAACACAACCTTCAAAACTTACCTAGCCACTGTTGCTGTGGTATTTCACACCAGTATTTTCTCACTGAAAGAATGTCTTTCAGTAGTATATTGCTACAATCAGCTGCATAAACGCCACCATTAGATGAATCTTTCACTGTTTCCATGATATAATTCAAAAGTTCTTGACATTTTAACCTGGGTGCTCCTATTTAAAAATAAACAAATTAATTAAAACACATAATCTTGACAAAAATAAATTAAATACACTTTGAATGGCAGCTATTTAAAAAATTTGTTATGAGAAATTACTATTAACTAACTTCTTTCTCACAGAGCATGGATTAGCAAACTTGCCAATAAGCAAAATTCACCCATTTGACTGTTTTCATAAAAAAATTTATTGGAATAAGTCACATTCATTTACTTATAGTCTGTGCCTACTTTTTCAATGAAACAGCAAAGGCGAATCTCAGCTGATCCATTTCCAATCTAGCTCCTAGCTGGGAAGGCAATGGATGATGGCCTGAGTGCCTGGGTCCCTGACACCCATGTGGGAAACCATGATGGAACTCCTGGCTTTTGCATGGCTCAGAACTGACTGCTGCAACCATTTGGGGTGTGAACTAGCAAAGAAATCTCTCTGCTTCTCTTTCAAGCAAATAAATAAATAAATACTGGGAGGAATAAAACCAGCAGAGTAACTGAGGGTATATGGCCCATAAAGTAAAAAACATTCACTATATAGCACCTTTACAGAAAGCATACCAATCCTGTAGGATATATAGCAAAAACAATCATTCTTCTATCTTTAGTAATCATAATTTCTTTTTGTTTTTAAAGATTTATTTATTTGAAAGTCAGAGTTACACAGAGAAAGGGAGAGACAGACAAAATTACTTCCATCAGCTGGCTCACTCCCAAGATGGCCCCAACAGCCATTTTTCCCAAGCCATTAGCAGGGAGCTGGAATACAGCGCAGCAGCTGAGACTCGAACTGGTGCCCACACGGGGTGCCAGCATCGCAGGCAGTGGCTTCATTGACTACACCACAGTGCAAGCCCCAGTAATTCCTAATTTCTAAAATAAGAGCTGAAATGATCCAAAGCTTCTTGGCACTATATGGAGGATGAATTTAATAAAACATAAGATTACAAGGAGGATATTTAGCTTGAAAAGCAAAATTATTTCAGTCTTATAATGGTATTTATGGCACACAAACATATGGCTGTTTTTAATAGCATAGTATTTAATAGAAATTTAAAATTCGGCATCAATATATTTTCTTAAAGGTATCAAAATTAAAAATAATTTACTTTCAGCCAATCACAGATATTACAGCTGAAATATATTTCAATATGATTTAATCTTAATACTGAAAAGTTTGGGGCCAGCACTGTGGTGTAGTGGGCTAAGCCACTCCCTGCGGCACCAGCATCCCATATGGGAGCCAGTTCATATCCTGATGCTCCTCTTCCAATCCAGTTCTCTGCTATGGCCTGGGAAAGCAGTTAGGAGATGGCCCAGGTGCTTGGGACCCTGCACCCAGGTGGGAGACCTGGAAGAAGCTCCTGGCTCCTGGCTTTGGATCAGTCCAGCTCCACCGCTGTGGCCATTTGGGGAGTGAACCGGTAGATAGAAGATCTTTCTCTGTCTCTCCCTCTCTCGGTCTGTAACGCTACTCCTCAAGTCAATAAATAAATCTTAAAAAAAAAAAAAAAAAAAAAAAAAAAGAACTTTGTCCAAAAAGCTAAAAAAACAAAACAAAACAAAACAAAACTCAATATATTTATTGTTTCAACCTATAAGCAGGGCACAACTCACTGGGTCTAACTGAATATATTTCAGATTAAGGTTTTCTGATGATATCAGACTATGGTAAATACACATTAATTTCATTACAAAATTATTTTGACTAATGACATAATTTTAGACATCTAGCTAGTAATAAAATGCACAACCATGTAATACTATACTATAAGACCCTGTGCATCTCTCTCTCAATCCTCTTCTATTTTTTTTCTTTTTTGACAGGCAGAGTGGACAGTGAGAGAGAGAGACAGAGAGAAAGGTCTTCCTTTGCCGTTGGTTCACCCTCCAATGGCCGCCGCACCGCGCTGATTCAAAGGCAGGAGCCAGGTGTTTATTCTGGTCTCCCACAGGGTGCAGGGCCCAAGGACTTGGGCCATCCTCCACTGCACTCCCTGGCCACAGCAGAGAGCTGGCCTGGAAGAGGAGCAACCGGGACAGAATCCGGAGCCCCAACTGGGACTAGAACCTGGTGTGCCGGCACTGCAAGGAGGAGGATTAGCCTAGTGAGCCATGGCGCCGGCCACAATCCTCTTCTATAACCTCTGTTGTATTATCAGATCCCTAAGAAAAAAATCTTTATATCCCCACATATATGCACCAGCTGGTCATAATGCTCAAAAAACACTTTAATATTAGGATAAAATCATATTTTTCTATGTTCTTCATCCAAATGTATTTCCTTACTCTGCTAATATTGCAAAGTATGCCAAGATTTATACTGAGCTTTTTTTCCCCCTAAAAACTTTGTTTTTAAAGAACAGCTAAGTTACCTGGGAAGACTTTTAGGAACCTAATGGAACTAAACATTTCTCACAGCTGAATTCTCTAATCACAGGTCTATGAAAACTGTGCAGTAGACAAAGCCTAACAGAATGGAATGAACAATATTTGCTTACTTGTTATTTCCCAGTTGCCATTCACCACCACCCCCCTTTTTTTCCTAATTGCTGTTTATTTCATCATAGTTCAGATACCATATCCAACAAGTCTGGCAAAGTCTTGACTTTGGCAAAGTCATTTAAATCTCCATCAATCCTCCAATCATTGGAAAATAACAGTTTACTAAGTCAGATGATAGTACCTTTATGGTTTTGCCCCAAGATTAGAGATTTAAGTTACAAAGTCAAACTTAAATGGAAGCCTTAAATTTCCAACTATTGAAATGATCTTCCATTGATAATTTTACCTACTCTTTTTTTTTTTTTTTAAGATTTATTTATTTATTTATTTGAAAGTCAGAGTTTCAGAGAGAGAGAGAGAGAGTCTTCCATCCAATGGTTCACTCCCCAACTGGCTACGATGGCCGGAGCTGCACCGATCTGAAGCCAGGAGCCAGGAACTTCTTACAGGTCTCCCATGCAGATGTAGGGGCCCAAGGACTTGGGCCATCTTCTACTGCTTTCCCAGGCCATAACAGAGAGCTGGATTGGAAGTGGAGCAGCCGGGTCTTGAACCGGCACCCATATGGAATGCTGGTGCTTCAGGCCATGGGGTTAACCCACTGTGACACAGCGCCGGCCCCTACCTACTCTTTCTTGCAATCCAATATATAGACACTGATTGCTAATTTGGATTCCTTTACTATTTGTCCCGTTGAAGAGTTTTTTAAACTGCAAAATTATAAGCTACAAACTTTTCTGGTAGTCTACAAAATTGGCCCATCTTTCCCTTCACTCACTCACTATATATTAAGTTCACAATGTTACCACCAAGAATACAGTATTTTTCTGGATGCAAGGTACCACACAGGGCAAATTCAAGTGCTGAATATTCAGTGCAGCTTTCTGCTAATCTGACAATGGCTTGCAGTTAATCAAAGAAACTAGCTTCTCACATAAGGTGGAAAATTCATTACCCCCTGTTGTACAGACTCGTCTCATACCACCATTCTGAAATATCATTCATTAACAATCTACATGCTTCTAAGAAATGTCTCTGGGGCTGGCGTTGTGGCATAGCGGGTAAAGCTGCCGCCTGCAGTGCCGGCATCCCATGTGGGCGCTGGTTTGAGTCCTGGGTGCTCCATTTCCTATCCAGCTCTCTGCTATGGCCTGGGAAAGCAGTACAAGATGGCCCAAATCCTTGGGCCCCTGCACCCACGTGGAAGACCTGGAAGAAGCTCCTGGCTCCTGGCTCCTGGCTCCGGATCAGTGCAGCTTCGGCCGTTGTGGCCAACTGGGGAGTGAGCCAGCAGATGGAAGACCTCCCCCGCCATATGTAATTATCAAATAAATAATCTTTTTTAAAAAAAGAAAGGAATGTCGCTAACATTTGAGTTTTCCTGATATTTAAACGAACATTGGTATTATAAAGCCACATCCTTATCTGTAAAGAATATACAGTGTGAGCCCAGGAGTTACTTAAAAACATTTCCACTTCTAGCTTTTCAGTGCTGTATAAAGCCCATTCCTTACAAAAGCTTACTAGATGCTACATTTATTTACATTTAAAAATATTGACTCTTCAAAAAGGTTTATTCATCTCAGAAAAAGAGAATGCAGAGAAATACTTTGGCTATTTCCCAATATCTCCAAGGATGTCACACTAAGAAATCAAAGCATGTCAATGGAAGTCATATTTAAAATGTAATTAGGATTTTTTTTGCATACTCTTAGGAGGTAGATGTAGTAAGAAGGGAAGATAGGCTTTGAATATTCTTTCTGGTGTCAAAGGGGGAAAGAGGGACATGTGTTTGGCTCAGCGTTACAATGCCACTTAGGATACTTGCATATCACATTGGAGTCCCTTGGTTATAGTCCCAGCTCTGCTTCCAATACAGCTTCCTACTAATGCACACCTTGGGAGACAACAGGTGATGGCTCCAGTACTTGGGTCCTGCTACCCACATGCAATACCCAGAATGAGTTTCAGGCTCCAGGCCTTGGCATGGGTCAGTTTTGGCTGTTGCATTCAGAGAAATAACCAGAAGATGGAAAAACTCTTTCTGCCTTTCAAAAAAAAAATTGGAAACAAAGTTTCAAAAGTTACAGTCATTAAAACAGTACTTCTGAGAGCTGGCAGTGTGGCGCAGCAAGTTAAGCTGCTGTTTATGACAGCATCTCATACAAGAACCAGTTCAATCCCTGGCTGCTCAAATCTATTTCGGCTCCCTGTTAATGCACCTGGGAAAACAGAGGAGGATGGCCCAAGTACTTGAGCCCTGCCACTCATGCGGGAGCCATGAATGGAGTTCTAAGCTTCTGGTTTCAGACTGGCCCTGTCTGTTGTGGCCATTTGGGGAGTGAACCAGAAGGAAGATCCCCCTCTCTCTCTCCTAACTCTGCCTTTCAAGTCAAATTAATCTTTAGAAAAAAAAAAACAAAAAAACAAAACAAACAAAAAAAAAACACCCACTAGATGTGATCAGGCATATGACACAGTAGTTAAGATGCCACTTGGGTACCTGTATCCCATATCATAGTACCAGGTTTTCAGTCCTGAATCTGTCCCTAATTCCAGCTTCCTGCTAACATGCAAGCTGGGATGCAGCAGGTGATGGTTCAAGTACTTAGGTCCCTGACATTCATGTGACACCTAGATTAAGACCCAGGTCACCAGATTTGGCCTGGTGATTGCAGGCATTTGGAGAGTGAAGCAGCTGATGGGACATAGCTTTCCTTTTTCTGCCTTTCAAACAAATAAAACAATTTTAAATAATTATAAGAAACAGAAATTAGAGTTAGCAGCCCTGACTCACCATTTTTATCATATTCAGATCACTCATGTAACAGTAACTAATTAGGCCATTTATGTATGATACATAATTTCACTTACTTTTATTTGCACACTTGATGAAGTACTTGACCAAACTACTGATTTCTTGCATCTTTTTTTGCCTGGATGCTTGTGTTGAGGCCGATACATTTGGTTTTGCTGTTCTCAGACATTCTGTTTCTTTCTGAATATATTTCTGTAAAAATCTTCAAATAAACAAAATGAAATTTCAGAAAATGCTTAAATTATTAAAATAGTTTCAAAACATTCTTCATGCTATCACAAAGAGCATCTTTAAGCCATCCATACACTTGAATTCAATGTATCAGTTAGATGCAACAATTAAATCTTTTTAAAGACCTAACTCTGTAATACCAATATAAAGTCTACAAAGGTCCTAATCTGTATCCTTCATGATTTTGTACTGCTTTACTGTCTGCTTTCTCATTTTATCATTAGAAGCTACAATGCTAGTAAGGATTCTCAATTCTCTCTTCAAGTTTTTTGTTATTTTGTTAATGATATTTCTAGCATTTAAATGAATCCCAACTAGAATATATTCATAACCTGAGAGAAGTGACAGGTGCCTATCTGACCTACCCTATAGTTTATACAAAATATGAGTATTCATCTTTAGGTAATAAATGACTTTGTGGTATTTAAAATAAACTAAGTAATCAAAGGAAAAGCACGTCTATTTTTCATGTCAAATGTATTCAAATCTGTAATTATTCAACTATCAAATCAGAACTTAAAAAGGATCATGTTCTAAACAAAGACAAGTAAAACTCCCATTTCTTTGTGACTGCAAATATTTATATTTAACTAATATTTCTAGTATTCTACATTAACTAGATAATTGATTTTCTTTCTTAAAGCTTACAACTTGTTTCTACTCATAAATGGACTTCATGGTTAAAAACTTTATGTTGATTTTTAAAAATACATCATGGCTGTTTGCCAATCCTGTTGAGCAATCAATTTTGTCTTTTAGTTGACATAACTGTTTTTCAATTGCATTCATATGGAAGTATTCTAAACTTTTTTTACATGTTTTATTATAATTTAACATATGGCAGTTATGATCTTAGCAATATTTAAAGATGCCAAACTAGTAATTAGATATTTATAACTTATTTTTTCTAATTTGAAATAGCCTTTTGAACTTAATTGATATGATGTGAATTCTCTATCTTGAGATATTTCAAACACATTTTATTAATCAAATGATTTAAAATTTTAAACATTCTATACAAATATCCTTTAAAAATTATGCTTTGGATGATTAAGTGCCAATTTCATATACAAAGCACAAAATGACATTCAGGGTGCAGAGATAAACAGAAATACACAATAACAGTAATATCACAACCGAAATAAAAATTAAAGAGCAAATAAGGACAGTAAAAAAAAATTAGGATAAAATACCTAAAAACAGCATCCCAATTTAAATATTTTCCTTGTTTCGAATCTGAATGCCGATCTAACTGTTGAACTGTTTCTGGATCCCGAATCAAGCGTTTAAATTTCTCAACTTCTTTCTAAAAATGAAAAAAATGAATATAATGGGCTAACAGTCACACACTTGTTTCAAATAAAGATTAAATTTAAAGTAAAGATTAAATAGGTAATTTATCACCCTTCGTTCTGTAGCTCTATCATGTTCAAGATGACGGCAGCAAATAAGCAGATCATTAAGTGCTAGACTCATGGCTCAGAGTTCCAGAACACACATTATTATCTGTAAAATACATACATATAAAAATTATTTTACATTTTGGTATTAGTATATAGTTATACCTAACAGTACAATAACAGGTACACTGTGACAAAAGGCATAATAACTTTTCTTAACATTTCAATGTTTAATATGAAGTTTAGAATATATTTGTTTCAACACAAAAAGGTTTTTTTTTCTGGCACAAGGATAAAAACACAAGTATAATTTGCTTTACTACACTGGGACCTAAGAAACATGACACTTAAATTGAGACAGAGATGAATAGAAAAGAGCCAGAAAAAAAATAAGGCAAAGACCACTTGATAGCTTAATGTTTACAATGAACTATTTAAAAGGACGTTTGCAGGGCCGGTGCTGTGGCACAACGGGTTAAAGCTCCAGCCGGCAGCTCCTGGCTCCTGGCTTTGGACCAGCTCAGCTTCGGCTGTTGCAGCCATTTGGGGAGTAAACCAGCAGATGGAAGACCTCTGCCTCCACCTCTCTGTAACTCTTTCAAATAAATTTTCTTTTAACAAAAAGGATCTTTGCATGAAGGCATTATGACACAGCAAGTAAAGCCATCACCAGGATGACAGAATCCTATAAGGGTGCCGGTTTGGGTCCTGGCTGCTCCACTTCCGATCCAGCTCCTTGATAATGGTCTGGGAAAAGCAGAAGATAGCCCAAGTACTTGGGCCCCTGCTAACCAATGGGAGACCAGGAAGATACACCTGGCTTCAGTCTTGCCCAGCCCCAGCCGTTGAGTCCAACTTGGGAGTGAACCAGCATATCGAAGACATCTACCTCTCCCTTTCTAATTCTTTGAAATAAATAATCTTAAGAAAAAACTTTGACTTGTCATTTTGCTCTGCCAAAATGATATGTAGGAAATTATCAGAGTTAGTAAGCCTTGCCCAGCACTTACATCTCAACTAGCATTATGGTTCTCAAATTAGGATGGAAATTATATTCCTGGTTTAAAAGGAAATTATTTCCTATCGTGATGTCCCTTGTAAATACAAAGGTCAACTTTATGATACCATTCTTTGATTACATTGCAGTAGCTCTCCTTCTTTTAGGTTTTTTAATATAATCAAATCTTCTTTTAATATAATCTTTAAAAAATTTTCCCAACAGCATTCTGCTTTACTGCTTCTGCCTAACCCTTTACACAAAGCAGCTTCATTTTGTTATATGTATGTACATTATACACACACACAAACATCTCAAAAAATGGCAGGGTAGGGGATATGCATATTGAACAATGGTTACATCGGTACTTGGGATGGCAGCATCCCATATCAGAGTACCAGGTTGGAGTCTCAGCTGCTCTGCTTCTGATCCAGCTTCCTGCTAATGCACATGCACCATGGGAGACAACAGGCAATCATCCCTGTAATCTACGTGGAAGATCCAGATTCAGTTCCAGGCCTCCTCCTGGCTGTTGCAGGCACCTGGGGAATGAACCAGCTGATGTAGGTTCTCTGTCTCCCTATCTGACTTTCAAATAAAATTTTAAAAAAATTAAAAGTTGGGGGGGCCAGTGCTGTGGCGTAGCAGGTAAAGCCGCCACCTGCAGTGCCAGCATCCCATATGGGTGATGGTTCGAGTCCTGGCTGCTCTAAATCCAATCCAGTTCTCTGCTATGGCCTGGCAAAGCAGTAGAATATGTCCCAAGTCCTTGGGCCCCTGCACCCACATGGGAGACCCGGAGAAAGCTCCTGGCTTTCGGATCGGTGCAGCTCTGGCCGTTGTGGCTAATTGGGGAATGAACCAGTGGATGGAAGACCTCTCTCTCTGCCTCTCCTTCTCTCTGTGTGTAACTCTTTCAAAATAAATAAATAAATCTTTATAAAAAAAAGTTGGGGAAAGTTCTCCTCCCATTTATTCATCTGAATCTACTCAATCTTTCAAGATCAAGTATGTTTATCTGCCCCTACACAATCTTATGCAATCTCAAAACTGGGAGAAACTGAGACCATGCTCCATTTCCCTACAAAGGTAGAAATCCCTCCTACAAAATTACCCTACTTAAAACACTCAGTGCGTGCAAAGTTCCCCCAAAAGACTGCCCAACTGATTGGTAGACAGTTGTAATTCTCTTCTCCATTTGTACTCATTGGTTCTTCTGAACTGTTACCACTTTTCCAACTTCCACTTCATTCTACTGTAGATAACAGGTTTTTATGTACATGATAGTCTTCTTCACTTGTCTGCATCATTCTTGAGGACAAGGACCCGTTTTTTATTTTTCCATTCCTTTAAGTTTTATTTAGGAATTTTCCTATTTCTGAGATTAAAGTTCCTTTGACTGAGTCAATTTGGAAAATGAAACTGGTGTTCTAACCAATGAAAATAACAGCAATATCCAAAGAACCTTAAGGGTAGGCAACTTAATTTCCAAATATACAAAGATGCAATATAAGAAAAAAAATGCACATTTACTGAACATGTGACACTTCCACTAACAGGAAGCCCTAAATCTGCCTTTATTATTTCAAGCTATGGCTTTTCCAAATTTACTCTTCTCTCTAGTTTCTTAAATATTGATTATTTTAAAGGAAACAAAATAGTTCAGTACTATCAAAATACACAGAAGATAGGGTCGGCGCCGTGGCTCACTTGACTAATCCTCTGCCTGCAGCGCTGGCACCCCCGGTTCTAGTCCTGGTTGGGGCGCCGGGTACTACTCCCAGTTGCTCCTCTTCCAGTCCAGCTCTCTGCTGTGGCCCAGGAGGGCAGTGGAGGATGGCCCAAGTGCTTGGGCCCTGCACTAGCATGGGAGACCAGAAGGAAGTACCCAGCTCCTGGTTTCGGATTGGCGCAGTGCTGGCCGGAGCGACCATTAGAAGAGTGAACCAACGGAAGGAAGACCTTTCTCTCTGTCTCTCTCTCTCTCTGTCTGGCAAAAAATAAAAAATGAAAAAAATAAATAAATAGAAGATATTCATTCATTGATACAAACAATATTTACTATGTACTACTGTGCTCAAGGTACTATATCAGGGACAGCTAGACAAATCAATGAAACATATAAATCCTGCTTTCATGAAATTCTACCTAGAGGTAGAAAATAAACAAACTGATAAATCAATGCATAATTCCAAAATGTGATGTATACTGTTAAAAACCAAATTCTTAAAACTGAAGGATATTAGGGGCCGGCGCTTTGGGGCAGTAGGTTAAAGCCCTGGCCTGAAGCACTGGCATCCCATATGGGCACAGGTTCTAATCCCAGCTGCTCCTCTTCCGAACCAGCTCTCTGCTATGGCCTGGGATAGCAGTAGAAGATGGCCCAGGTCCTTGGGCCCCTGTACCCAACGTGGGAGACCCAGAAGAGGCTCCTGGCTTTGGATGGGTGCTGCTCCGGCCGTTGTGGCCATCTGGGGAGTGAACCAGCAGATAGAAGACCTCTCTCTCTCTCTGTGTAACTCTTTCAAATTAAAAAAAAAAAAAAACTGAAGAATACGAAGAATACTCTGAAATAAAAGTTTTTGGAGCAATTACAGAAACTAGCCAGAAAAAAGGAGTGGTCTAGAAGCTCTTGTAACCACCAGCAGAGAGCTGTCTGAAAGGTTTTTTTGCTGGATCTAAAAAACCAAAATATTTTATACTCAAAGTTTGGGAAAAAGAAAGTATAAACTGTTTATAATGAGCCTATATAGAGAAGAGTGGCAGTACAACTAAAAGGCAGGAAGGCAGTCTCTAAGTATTTAGCTATTCCTAATCAGTTGGGATTGCCTTGATGGCCTTGGAGTTAAAATTTCAACATGCATTCAGGACATCGAGCAGTTTTTTTTTTGTTTTGATTGGCCAAAACTGACTAACTTCTCTCTCCTCTCCACTCTCTAGCTGTGTAATTAAATTTAGGACATCTTAGAATACTTGCTTTCATCTTTGCCTCAAAGAAAGCAATACTTAAACAATAATAGAAAGAAACTAATACTTAAACAATAATAGAAAAAACCAGTAGAGAGGACCATTTTAGATAAATTATAAGGAAACATCTCAAAGGAAGGTATAAAAAGAAAGTCAAGATCTGAATAAACCAGTGCCAATCATATAAAGAGCTGAAGAACTGACATTTGAGGGAAGTAATCTTGCACAACGCCAGGGCACTAAGATGGAAAAGAGTATGTTAGGTTGGAGGAGGTGGAGACGAGCCAGTCAGAGTAAAAGTATCACCAGATAAAGACAAACCCCACTTATACATTAATCCAGACTACCTACGATTCATTCATATTCCACAGAAACAACACAAATTTCCTAAATAACAGGCTCTGCACCGGCGCATTCAATATTCGTTGTTATTAACCAGCTTAATCCCTTTGCAGAACGTTGACAATGACGCCCATTCCATCCTCCTAGAAATAACTTTGTCCTTGGCATGCAATTCTTGGCTCTGTAGTCAATGTGTATTAATCCAGCCAGAGCAAGTTAGCTCATGTGTCCAAACCTTAATGATAAAAACAATACTAGCATCTACCCCAAAAACTTGCTGTAAGCATGCAGGTGCATGTTTAGCAAAGCACCTGGAACACAGCCAGTCACCACGTTACCAGTTATCAGAATGAATTCCCTTCCTTTATGATTGCTCCATAAGTCTCTTTCGATATTTCTTCCCTTCCCACTTCAAGCAGCATCCTTATCTCCTTGGTCTCATTCATTCCTGTGACCTAAACATACTGAAAACTCCCCGAACCTATTTCTTTCAATACTAGATCTCACCCCTGATCTTCAAGAACCTTCTACCATGTGCCTTTTACAGGTAAGTTTCTTTCTGTTTGGAAAGTTCCTACTATCCCCTAAGGCAGTTTAGATACTGCAAGGGCTCCCGGCAAACTGAATTGTTTCTTCCAGGCCGAGTTTCCACAGGACCTGTAACTGCTCTTCTAGAATATTATCCACCTTGCAGTGTAGTTAATTATCTGCACCTGGGAAAACAGCTCTGCAGGGCTCACCACAGGGAAGGATTACCTCACGTAATTTTCCAAGGAAGATGTCAAACAGCTGGCAGAATTCGAACTCGGTAATGTGATTCCAGAACCTACATTCTTAACCACGAGGCTATAGTTAAAATCTCACTAAATGCTCGCTAACTAAAAGTACCAATTATGACACGAGGTTAAAAAAAAAAAAAAGGTAACTACTCCAATCGCCTAGTTGAATCTGAACCCTAAGGGCACGGGAGAAGCAGACGCGGAGAAAGGAGAACTCAATTCAGAAGACTTAAAAGGAAGTTCAAGGATAACGCCGCAGGGGGCTCGGAGGGAGTGCGGTGAGTAGCCGCAGCAGCAGCGAGAATAACGAGGGAGAGAGCGCTCACGGGCCGCTCTGAAAGAGCGCGTGGGATTAGGAGTCGGGGGAAAAGGACAGACTGGGTCCAATACGACTCAGTTCTGTAAATACACAAGTCACTGCGTGGCTCCGCACCCCTACCGCTAGACTCTGACGGCCCAGGCAGTGCCGGCGGCGGCTTGCAGCACGGATCCCCCAGCTCCTCTCGCCACCTCCGGTTGCCACAGCTTCCACACTCCGTTATCCCCGCAGCTTTCCCCGCTTCCGGTTCAAACGCCGCGTGAACTCGCAGCGTCCTCTCGGAAGAAAGCACTAACAGGCCACAGAGCACACTCTGCTCATGCGCACAAGTATCACGCGCTTTCCGTCGCCCAACACTGCGCACCCCCAAAACATTCTGCTCGTCTGCGGAAACGCGCCTGCGCGCTGCCCACCAATGGCTAGCGACTCTGTGTCAGTCGCCCGCCCTCTGGCTGCGGCTCCGGCGCTCGCACCCCGCCCCTTCACGCTCTCCGGCCCCACCCCTCCAACTCTGAGGGCGGAAGTGACGGCAGTTCCAAGGAGAACGGAGGCGGGTTTCATTTCGGCGCCTTTCTTTCTCTGGCGGAAGCCATTGGCTGCCGTGGAGCGAAAGAGGCGGGACAAATTGCCGCGGGTTCAGTGCCGCCACTGGAACCGGGAGATGCGGCGTAGGAGCTGTCGCTGTGTTTCTCTGTACCTGCGTCTCGTCTCTTATTGTGGTTCGTTCTGCGGCGTCGATCATGCTGTTACCCTCGGACGTTGCCCGGCTAGTATTGGGTAAGCGCGGACGCTGGCGGGAGGGTTACTGGGCCAGGCAGAGAAGGAGGGAAGGCGCTTCGGAGCTAAAGCCTTTCTCTTGGTGGGGCAGCCTTGGGGTTTTGCTTCCCCGCTTGCAAGTTCGGACTGGCTGTGATTTTCCGTCGCTCGCTGGCCCTGGTCGCGTACGCCTCGTTGTGTGTGGATGCTCTCCTGCTCGGGCTGTTTGTCTAGGGGAGAGCCGGAGAGAAGCTCGGAGGGCAACACCTGAGGCCCGGATTCGGAGGGAAAGTCAGGCCTGCACACTTCACTGGGACCCCTGAAAGAGAGTTGTCTACGTGACGGGGCGGACTTCGTCGTCTTCAACCTTGCGCGTACTTTCCCTTGTCAGAGCTGAGACCAAAATAGGACAAATAAGGACTTCCCGGCCACCCAGCTTTGTAGAAAGACCTTCGTGACGTCTTTCTCATAACCCTTAGAACTCCGGATTTGGGACGAGTGGGGGTGGTCCTCCTCCTCCATCCTCCCGGCAGGACGTCCTCCCGTGTAGAGGGTTGAAATGCCAATTGCAAATTTGAAAGCAGCTGCAATTCCTATTGCTTTGATGAGCGAACAGTTACGGAAGGGAAGTGCCTTCCAGCTGAACGTTTTCTCGCCCTAGTTAGCTTTTCCTCCATTTGTGCCACTTGTCTGTCAGGGTGTATTGTCTGTGTGGGAGACGGTTTTTTTGTTATTGTTTGTCCCTTCAAAGAATAAAGAAGATTGTACTGCTAGCAACGAGAGCCACTTAAGTTCAAAAACGGGGCCAATGATTTAGATACCTGACATCTCTAAAAGTAAATGGTATACATCTGTGATCATCGTCCCGTACTGTCCACAACCAGTACTACCATTATTTTATTGTTTGGAAACCTCATTTGTCTTCTTTAAAAGTACTCCACCCTGTGGCCTAAAAATGGTGTTTGTGTAGGGCTCTTGATAAGAATATTTTGCAGGAAACATTAGGCGGAAATGGTTCCACCATCCACTTTTGGGAAAACGAATGATTGAAGTTTAATATTTTGTTAATGTTTGGTTAATCTTTGCTCACGTTATCAGAATTGAATATCAACACAACCTGCATCTATATCTGATGTTTATTAAAATTTGGCTATCTTGTAACTGTTAAATTTTTTAGGCTTATATGTAAGTTGCAAGAAGTAGGCTTTCACAGTATAGGTTCACATGCTTTGTTATTTCCTCCATGCATCTCATTTAAGAAGTTTGAGTGTTAGCCATTTGGTAATCCAGTTGAGTTTCAGTAATCATAGTCAAACGTTTCTCACTCTCAGCACTATTGACCTTTTGAGCTGGATAATTCTTGTCATGGTGAGTTGTAGTGTACTCAAACATTGTGGGGTATTTAGCAGCATTCCTGGCCTCCGTGCCCTAGAGGCCAGTAAGATGTCCCCCTGCCCACTTGAGAGAAGTGTCTGTGTATATTAATAGTGTGCCCAATGGGAGGCAGATCACCCCCAGTTAAAAAAGACTTAAGAGAGCAGTATGATTTTTTTTTTTAGTTGTGATAATACCCATCCAACTTGTGGGTATTCTTTCTCCAGAAACCAGCTGCTCTGTTTGACTTCCTACTTGTCTTTTAATGGATAAGAATTCCAGAATCATTGTTTTCTTATCCTAAAATTTTTTGTTGTTCTATTTTCACTGCCAAGGATTCTACCAATTTGTCTTCCATGATTTCTCTTACAGAGTTTTGTCATGGCTTCCCATAACAACAATTTTATTATTTGCTTATTACCCTATCATCATTCCCTCCCCATCTTCAGCCCCTCTCCTTTTGTTGGCCTCTTCAAAATGTATTTGCAGAAAAATTTGGGTGCCTAATGAGTTCCAAATACTGAGCCAGTGACTAAGCAGAAAGGAGTATTTTGTGTGTGTGTGTGTGTGTGTTCAGATCAATTAGATTGGGGTTTTTTTTTTTACTGTTAAATACATACCGCTCAAACACTTTCCTGGACCCCAACTTCACATTCTAAGACGATTTCACACTTTCAGAAGTCACACTGAATCAAATTACTGTGAATTTTATTTGATTGCTCTACTTGTCTACCTACTTTTCACTGTGCAGCACACTGCACTCACATTGAAGCAACCCTTGCTGCTCAGCTGCAGCTACCATCTGGCCTTACTGGAATTTTAAAAAATATTGTACAGGACAAAATACTTCGAAGTAGTATTTTGTCTCTGACCCACTAGTTTAGTATTCATCATTATGTCCAAGTACTCCAGAATTGATCTTGCCTGCCTCTCCTGCTTGATTTATCATCTTAATATTTGCCTTCTGCTCTAGGCATACCAGTCTACTTGATATTTCTCCAAATATTTTTATGTGGTCTCCTTCTTGTCATCCTAATACATTTATATTCAAGATTCAGATTAAACATGATCTGAAACCTCTTCCATCAAGTGTAGCTAGTACTTTTCCTTAACTCCCTTTTGTGGCTATTTAGTTTTTAGCTTTTTTTTTTTTTTTTTTTTGTAAAATATACATAACCAAATTTACCACTTTTGCCATTTTTAAACAGTTTTGTGGCATTAAGTACACTCACATTATTCTACAACCATCACCACTATCTAGCTTTAGGATTTTCCATCTTCCCAAACTGAAACTAACATCTTGTACTATTCAGTATTCTTAATCTTGGATTGATGGAAAAGCTTCACGAGTTGTATCTAAAAGGTTTATGTGCAGAAGGGGACAATTTTTATGGGTGAAGGAGCCAGGATTTTCTCCTTTTTTCTAAATAGGTTTGCCACTCTCTGAGTCAGGAAAAAAACACAATCTGAGTGTTTGACATGGATGGATTTAATGAGGTAACTGGTTATACTGGTGATGGAAAAGCTAGGAAGCCGGACAGGCAGCTCAGAGGTTGGCATCAGCTGGAAGCTGCCACAGAAGGATGAGGAGAGATGCAGTAGTGGGAACAACTGTGTAGAAGATGAGCAGACTTGTGTGATGAGGGAGCATAGTCCTGGGGGCGCATCTGTCAAGGCAGAGTGGGTTTGGGAAGGGAAAAAACTGTGGCCTCTTCCTCTTGCCTTCCAACTTCCCACTAGTACTTCCTTCTCATTTACAGCAAGAAGCCTGCTGACATGGGAGGCTGGGAAACATGACCTTAATGGATTCAGACTTCCTGTCGTACAGTATGTAGGAGGCCAAGGGTGAAGAACGAGTTTGAGCACGAATAGGACCAGGACTGGCACTTCTATATCACTAAGTAGATATTTCATAAACGTTTACAAAAGTGCAACTGTGATCATGACAGTCCCTTCAATAGTATGTGTACGCATTGCTGACATTTACTAAAGCTTTTCATAGTGCTTAACTAATCTGCCTTTGCTGTTATGTCTCCAGCTGTTGCTTGATACACCTTGTGCTACATCCAGTTAGGTATGTTCCCAAGTGTGTTCTGCATATGTGGTTTCCATCCCCTTCTTTGGGATTTCCAACCACTTTAGTAGGACTCTCCTCCTCCTCCTTGAAACATTGCATAATTTCTGCCAGCCCTAGTAGTAATTTTTCTTGCACCTATCTTTGCTTAAAGTCAGTCACTCTTATCACTTGGTTTGCATTGCACTCATTTGTTTATCTTAGGACTTCTAGAAGATCATGATTTCTTTATGGACAGAGAGCTTGTCTCTGTTACTTGTGGATCGAGTAATACGAAGCACTGTAAGTTAATTCTTTCTGAGAGTTACTTTTTTTTTTTTTTAGTTACATTTTTCAAGGACATTAAACTACTCATTTCTAGGAAACTAGAAGAATTTATGAAATATTTTTCCTATCACTTGTTTCAGGCTGCTCTCTTTTTTACTTTCTACAAATAGGATGAAGGGAACTCAGATCCCTGGCATAGCAATTCCTAACTTTTTTTTTTTAAGATTTTATTTATTTGTTTGATAGGTAGAATTACAGACAATGAGAGAGACAGAGAGAAAGGTCTTCCTTCCGTTGGTTCACTCCCCTAAATGGCCGCAACGACCAGGGCTGTACTGATCTGAAGCCAGGAGCCAGGTGCTTCTTCCTGGTCTCCCATGCGGGTGCAGGGGCCCTGCTTTCCCAGACCACAGCAAAGAGCTGGATTGGAAGAGGAGTAACGGGGACAGAATCTGGCGCCCATGTGGGATGCTGGCACCGCAGGCGGAGGATTAACCTAGTGCGCCACGGCGCTGGCCCTAGCAATTCCTAACATTTAAATACCTGCAATAATAGTTGTTTCAGTTGTTTGCCCCTTCATCCATTTTGCTACACATTACTACCTCCAATTTAAAGCACATTAAAGACAGTATTAAGTAGGAGAAACTTCAGTCATACTTTCTTAATCTGTTCTAGGAGTGGTAAACCTATTCAGCCGAGGGATATTTATGACATCATTTGTGGGCCATACAAAATCATTAAAAATGAACCTGATGTAGATCTATTAAATTTCGAGTTCCATATGCAATTGGCATTAGTAGGGCCAGACCAAGTGACTGTATAGGCCTCATATGATCCACCAGCCATATGTCCCCAACCCCCAATCTGTTCAGACACTTTTGTCATTAAGTTTACACAAAAGATGTAGTCCTTTTGTCCTGCCATTTTTAAGATTAAAAGAAGAGAGGCCGGCGCCACGGCTCAACAGGCTAATCCTCCGCCTAGCGGCGCCGGCACACCGGGTTCTAGTCCCGGTTGGGGCGCCGGATTCTGTCCCGGTTGCCCCTCTTCCAGGCCAGCTCTCTGCTGTGGCCCGGGAGTGCAGTGGAGGATGGCCCAAGTGCTTGGGCCCTGCACCCCATGGGAGACCAGGAGAAGCACCTGGCTCCTGTCATCGGATCAGCGCGGTGTGCTGGCCGCGGCGGCCATTGGAGGGTGAACCAACGGCAAAGGAAGACCTTTCTCTCTCTCTCTCTCTCTCTCTCTCACTGTCCACTCTGCCTGTCAAAAAAAAAAAAAAAAAGATTAAAAGAAGAGAAATGATAAC